CTTTTATCATTAGTGTTCAGTGTATCAAATCTATTCTTGAAATGGTTTTAAAATTTAGTTGAGAAACCCACAAGGTCATATTTTGGTTCTTGTGGACAAGAGGAAATATTGTTTATTAAGTTTAGTTTGAACTTCATATAAGTAGTTGATGGTCTGTCCCACAGTCAACTTCTGGCCTTGTTCTTGATGCTGATATTGAGCTTCTCTATGAACTCTTATCACAGATGTAACAGTCTGATTCCTGTGTAGGCTTTTGGGTGAGGTCTTTGTATATAACCATCATTTATGGGTTGTTGTTGTTTTTTCCTGTTTCCCATGGAGTGCATGTTTGCTTGAGATTTGTATGCTTGCTTGTTTTATAATTTAGTCTTATGGGTACAGCACTTGTCTGTTAGATTACTGTACTGAGCTGACTTTCATGTAAATACTAGCCAGGTCATCCATGGTGGACAGGTTTCAGACTGAGACAGATTAAGAAGCAAGACTTGCAGTCCACTTCTGAAGTAACAGGCCTTCAAAACGTTATGAATTACAGAGAAACATTATCAGATATAGAACTAGAAGTAGAGTCCCTCAGAATGGAAGGCACTAAAAAATGAGAAATAGTTGCAAACATATGTTAATAATTGGAATATGGAATGTACAAAGTATGAATGTAGGAAAATTGAAAGTTGTAAAAAATGAAATGGAAAGCAAAGATCAAGATCCTAAGCATTTGTGACCTGAGATGGACTGGTATTGACCATTTTGAATCAGTCATGCTAAAAATGACAAATTGAAGAGGGATGGTATCAATTCATAGTAAAAAAGTACGTTTCAGGATCTATCCTGAAGTACAGGGCTTGAATTATAGGTTACTATCTATACACATACAAAGAAAACTTGCTAATACAAATATTATTAAAATACATGCACCTACCACCAAAGCCAGGACAAAGAAATTGAGGGCTTTACAAACTTTTACAGTCTGAAATTGATTGAACATGTAATCAAGATGCATTAATAACTGGTGACTAGAATGTGAAAGTTAGAAATGAAGAAGGAAGACTAGTAGTTGGAAAATGTGGCCTTGGTTGACAGAAATTGGGCTGGACTCTTACTTGCTGACTTTCCACTTTTTTTCAATATAATGTCTCTCTCCAAGGACTGACCCATCCTGACCACCTGACTGGACCATGTGAGGTGATGTTTCTTCCTCCATGTCAGATTTGTTTGTTCCTTTGGCAGGCTATGAGATATTGAATACTCTTCTCTAACACCACAACCTGGAGGTATCAATTTTTCTTCTTGTCATCCTTATTCATTGTCTAACTTTCAGAAGCATAGGAAGCAATTGAAAATACCACAGATTGAATCAGGCATGCCTTAGTCTTTAAACTGACATCCTTATTATTAAGTCATGAATTTGTTGTTGTTGTTATGCGCCGTCGAGTTGTTTGCGACTCATAACGACCCTATGCACAACAGCCCTAAACCCTGCTCTATCCTGCGCCAACCGCACTGCCTCTGACACGCCCATCCCGATTACCCCAGTCACCGAGTCAATCCATCTCATAGAGGGTCTTCCCCTCCTGCGCTGTCCCTCAACCCTCCCAAGCATGATGTCCCTCTCTAAGGACCCGTCCCTCCTGGCAACGTGTCCAAAGTATGTCAGACGAAGCCCCAGAATCCTTGCCTCCAAGGAGTAGCTTGGTTTAATCCTCTCCAAGATGAATGTGTTTGTTTTCCTGGCAGTCCATGGTACATTCAGTACTCTTCTCCAGCACCACAGCTCAAAAGCATCCACTCTCCTTCTGTCCTCCCTAGTCATTGTCCAACTCCCTGATGCATAACAAGCGATTGCAAAGACCATGGCCTGTATCAGGTGCACCTTAGTCTCCAGAGAGACACTGTTGCTCCTGAGTACTTTAGAGCGGTCCCTAACAACAGACTTTCCCATCGCGATACACTTTTTGATTTCCTGACTGCTGGTGCCAAGAGTGTAGGGCTCCTAAATTTGACAATAATTGAAATAGCTTGCTACCACACAATGATAGATGTATTGGGCCACGAGGCATGGGTAGTAGAGCTTGGGCCGTGGTGATTGATGGGGTACCTGGTAATGTGGGTCACCAGGACTGCCAGGCCAAGTGTACTCTGGCCACCAGGGCCTCTGAATCATCAAGCCAGTGTGGGCTGTTCCAGGGCCAGATGGCCTAAGCCTGATCTCCTGAGGAGCTGATTTGGGGCAGGAGGAACCCTATCTGGTCAGATGGAAGTTCGCTTTGTTGATCCCTGTGGGCAAATAGTGGAAAGGGTGGGCATGTCACTCCTTTGCCTTTTCTGGTGTCATTTGGTCCTTGGTACCTCTCTGCAGTCCTCACTCTCTGCAGGACTCCATGTGGATGCAGGTCCTGGTTCTTTCATGATTATCTCTTCCTTCTTTTCCTCTAATCAGCCTTTTGATTGGTATTTTCCTTCAGTCAGTATCTCCATGTCCTCTTTGCTGCTTTCATTAAATTTCAGGATTTCCAGATTGCCATCTGTAACTGTCACCTTGGAGAGGGATTGGTTTCCAGGTCTATATAGTCAACTGTCTTGCCCCAACTCACAATTTTTAAAAATTTTTTTTTATTTTTTCTTTTATTATTTTGTGTGTGTGCCATCAGATCTGATCTGACTGGTACAGGAGATTGCCCCTCTTTCCCCAGCAGAACATCTGGTGAATTTGAACCGTGTACCTCTGGGATTACAGTGCAGTTTCTTGCTACTAGGCCACCAGAGCTCCCCAAGTTACAATTTTTACAGTTTAAATTATATTCTGATATTGAATAAATTGATCAGCTCACATGGTAGAGATGAAAACATGGCTGGCTTGTCAGACCTCACTATAAAAAGCAGCTAATTCAAAGAGTATTACCCCAATTCCTGATTAAACCAGACTTGCAAGTGACTTTCCTCAAAACAGCATCAAAATGTGTATATTTTAGTGGATGGGCTGGCTAGTCGATATAATACTACTTACTCTCACATTGACCAAAAAATTAATTCTCCTCTCAATATTTGATGAGCGTGTAATATATGTCATCCAAGCACATGGGATGTTGTATAAATAATAAGTGAGTTTCCTTTCTAAGACCAAGTCTTGCTCAGGTTCACAAAGAAATTTCTAATAGTAAATTAATCCTTTTTACTATTCTCTTCCTTTCTTAATGTTTGAAAGAACTTGCTTTTTTATTTTTACAGTTTTAAGTTATTTTCTGATTTAGACTTAATTGGTTGGGGAAAGTGGTAAAGATGAAGAAATTATTTCTCATATTCATAAACACCCCCCCCCCCCAGCTACTAAGTGTATTACCTCAATCTCTGATGAAGCCATCTAGGCAAGTGACTCTCCCTGTAACGTATTTTTTAGGCCAGAATTCTCCTTGGAGGCAAGGATTCTGAAGCTCCATACGACATACTTTGGACATGTTGCAAGGCGAGATCAGTCCTTGGAGAGGGATGTCATACTTGGGAAGGTAGAGGGACAGCACAGGAGAGGAAGACCCTCAATGAGATGGATTGATTCCGTTGCTGGGGTAATGGGGATAGGCATGTCAGAGTCAATAAGATTGGCAAGGGATAGAGCAGGGTTTAGGGCTGTTGTACATAGGGTCATTATGAGTCACAAGCGACTCAATGGCACATAGCAACAACAACAATAGTTAGTATTATGGAAGAAAGTAGATCTGATATTTATATTAGAGGCAGCTTCTTTCTAATAAGGATTAACTTAGTAGCCCAATACTAAAAATACAGGCATATAGATAATGAACTAGAAATAGTGCATGGTCTTTTTTAAAACCTTACTGTTATGCACTATTGAGTTGGAAACAAACTACCGAGTCAGAATCAACCCTTCAGTGGGGTTTCAGAGGCAGTAAATCGCATGGAAAGAGATTGTGTCCATCTTTCTCCCGCAGGGCAGCTGAGAGACTGAACTGTGTGCTTTCAGGTTGGCAGTATAGATCCTTACCACTGGGCCATCAGATCTCCCTTAAAAGAAAAATCTTCTTAATATTAGCTTTACTATTTAGTATTTTATCTTCTCTCTGCCTTGGAAATTTTGAGAACATTAGCCAAAAAACAGTGGTTACTTAGTTCAATGGAATAGGTGTGTTTTCAGATAGACAGTATTTGTTCCAAACATCCTTTGAGCCCAAGGATAGAACAGTGTGACAGGCTTATCATCACTTCCCAAAGAGACATCTTTTCATCATGGCACTAAAAGGAGCCATTTGGGAATTTCATTGCACCTTTTGGAAAGGGATGGTTTGTTCTCTTTAGCCTCATCTTTTTTTTTTTTAGAAGCATCTGATCATTTTATCCTGAGACTTTATATCTAGGGCACCGATGTCTTTGTCCAACTTTACTTTTCAATCTGTAAATGGACAGAGATTTAGTTGCAGAAGATTTATGTATCTGGAAACCTGTAGTGGAAATGTTTCATGAGCACACTTGTACTTAATGTGGACATTTGAAGGCCAAGTGAGAATGTTATAAAGTGGGTGGTAGAGCAATGGTGACAGTTTAGGTACAGTGTTGGTGGCTACAAACTTACATTGCTTTCAGTTAGAAGAGTGCATACATGGAGCCCCTGGGTGGTATAAACAGTTAAAGCCCTCTGCTGTTTACTTAGAGGTGGAAAGTTGAGTGTACTCAGTAATGTCTTGAGAGAAAGATTCAGTGATTACCTCCGAGAAACCAACCAGCTGTCTCAGTAACACCTGTTTTTCTTCTTGTCAATCCTTGGGCAATTTCAGAGATTGATGGTTGAGTCCAAGGTTTCTCAGCGGGCAGGTGAATTTGTTTCTAAAATCGTGTTGTTTTCTGTGCTGTTGTTCACACAGTCGTGTTGTTCACTGAATCTCCTTCCTTCCCCAGTGTCTCTGCAAGAGTCTTTGTGAAGACGTGATCCTTCCCAGAGAACTGTTTCATTCAGAACTTAGCTGACGTGAACGAAGTTGGTAAGCCTGATAATGCCATTTGAGCTGGGACAGGCCCTGGTCCAGGTGCCACCACTGGCAAAGGCAGAGGACCCTCGACTCCCTGGATCAGATGCTTCTCAAGGGGAACTCTCCAGCCCTGAAGCTGCCCGGCAGCTTTTCAGACGCTTTCAGTACCAGGTGCTGTCTGGGCCCCACGAGACCCTAAGGCAACTTCGGAAGCTCTGTTTCCAGTGGCTGCAGCCAGAGCTTCACAGCAAAGAGCAGATCCTGGAGCTCCTCATGTTGGAGCAGTTCCTGACCATCCTGCCTGGGGAGATCCAGATGTGGGTGCGCACACAGCGTCCCAGCAGTGGAGAGGAGGCTGTGACGCTAGTGGAGAGCTTGAAGGGCGACCCACAGAGACTATGGCAGTGGGTAAGCAGAGTACTGGGATCTGAGTCCTGTTGGGGTAGCCTCCTGCCTCATCTATGGCTCTGTGTGCCTGTCAGGTCCCTGAGTGGTGCAAATGGTTTACTACTACCCAGGGAACTCTGTAGCTTAGTGGTAAGGAGCTGTACTGACAATCCAAAAACATGTATTTGAATCCACCAGCTGCTCTGTGGGAGGAAGATGGGCACTCTCCTCCCGTGCAGTTTACTACCTCTGAAAACCTATTGGAGGGTCAGCTGTGGGTCACTTCTGACTAGATGTTGTACAAAACAACAAACAACAACTAATCAATCAAAAGGTTGGTGGTTTAAACTCATTCAGTGACACCATGGCTAAAGGTATGCTAGTCTGCTTTTTGTAATGATTATGGCTAACAAAACCGTAAAAAGCGATGCTATTCTCTCACTGGCACCAGGTATGCTTTTGTTTGTGATTGTGAGCAGGGATGTGTTTGTGACTGTCAATACATTTTAGCTATTAGGAATTGAAGATAAAACCTCTCTTCTCATTTTAACTCTATACTTGAAAATTTGTATTGTTGAAACACAAAAGTTTTAATTGGTCCAGACTGTCCAGTTGAAACCCAGTATTGTAGCCCGACTTATAGATCTTGAAGGCCTGGTTCAGTGTCAGCAGTGGGCCTCTCTTGTGGTATTTCCACAAGTGGTTTCTACTGGATAAGCAAATTAAGCTGCCTTGCTTCTTCCCCATGACTTGTTCCTAAGGACTGTCATAAAATCTGTTGTAAAAGATTTGCTTTGTTTTCCGAAATCTTGAGCTGACATTCTTCAGTAACTGGTAACATATGGTCTTTAGATCAGCAACCAGGTTCTGGGAAAGGTAACCTTACCTGAGAAGGTGGAATCTGCACACTGCCACATGAGGGAGACAGAGGCCTGTCCTGAAGTGGTGCCTCAGGAGCTGGGACTTCAGAATTCAGCCTTAGGGCCTGGGGAACACCTGACCCATGCTGTCAAAGAAGAATCTCTCACGGAGCCGGAATTAGGTGGGGACCAGTTTTTATTCATGGTGGTGTTGAGGGCAGGGTGGGGAGGTGCTTCTTGGAGAAAATCAGGAGTTCTGGTTGTCCAAGTTGAAAACAATGTGTTCAGACTGACGTGTCTCTGGGAAATTTGGAATCAAGGTCAGTGTCCACAAATCACCCTGATTGACAGATTCAAAGTCTGTATTTTAAGCCACTTTATAACTACATTAGACCATTTGGATTTTGGATTTGAGCAGGTAGGGGAGAGAATATTTGGGTGAGACTGTTTGGAAAGTTGAAGAGAGTTGGATTTTGTTAGTGGTGCAAGTACAAAACTTGAAATTGTCGTGTAATATGCTGTAGGAGAATGGAAAAACAGCTTTCCGTTGTAATTTGTCAAGTTTGTTTTTTTTTTAATCAGTGCCCTCTGGAGAGTGGCTGAGTAGGACATCTAAATTCTTAAAACTTCCTGTTTCTCACTTTAGTAATAACTGCTCCCCAGCTTCTTGCCCAACCTGAGGAAAGGCTCATCAGAGACCAGGACTCTGGAGGCTCACTTCTCCAAGCTTCATCTCAGGTGAGCAAAGTTCTTTGCTTTTCTTCCCTCTGAACCAGTTTTGAACATTCACCAAGACAGGAGGACTAAAAGTGGGTGCATTCTCAGAAATGGAATGGAGAGAAGAGGGCCTAGCAGGACAATAGGAATAGTATACATGAAAAGAAGCTTTAAGAGTTGCTTATGGAAATATATCTAGATTGGAAATCAAAAGATTGAGTTCAGATCTTGAACATGTTACTCACCAATTATCTATTTTTGGACAAGTTATTTAATATTCAAATGCTACTTCCTCTTCTCTAAATTGAAGTCAATACTAACTTCCTTTTTGCCACTGCTGTTGTTGTTGTGTATATCATCGAGTCAGAATCAACCCATACCAGTTAATCTCATGGGAGGAGATTGCTCATTCTTCTCCCATGGAGCAGTTAGAGAATTTGAACCATGGATGTTTGGGATTGCAGCACAACTTCTTGCCACTAGGTGACTAATGCTCCCTGTCTTTGCTGATAAGATAATTAAATTAACTACGTGTTCCTTAAGTGCCTACTAATAATTTATCATACAGAAGTAGCTCACTTTTTACTCCTTTTTAAATACATTTATTATTCTTATACATTGTGTTTTGTACATACACATTGTATTGCTTTTTTTCTTTTTTAATTGTGATTTGAATAAAAGTTTACAAGTTCCTCTTCCAAAAAAAGAAAAGAAACTTGGGTTTAAGTTGTTCTATCAAGTTCTATCATGGCAGAATATTCTTCTAATTGCCATTAGAATAAGGGAATGTACGTCTTGGACAAAGATAGAAAGCTGTGATGACCCATCAGCAAATGAATGGATAGAGAAGCTGTGGTATATTCACACAATGAAATACTATGCTGCATTGAAAAACAGGGAACGCATAAAATATTATACAAAATGGGTGACCCTGGAGGACATTCTGCTGAGTGAAATAACTCAGTCATAAAAGGACGTATACTGCATAAAACAGGACTGATGTCGGGGTTGGGGGAAACCTAAGAAAAGAGGGGATAAATAATGAACACTACATTAAAATAGATGAGGGAAAGAACTGTCTAAAAGAAATATATGATTGGATATTTGCATGACAACAGGCCAGAATGAGAGGTCCATAACAAGGTGGACTGAGGGGGTGGGAGCAGGAAGGGAGGAAACGGTGCAACAATGAAAGAATCTTTTTAAACAGAGAATTGAACTGGGTGTGGGTAGGGAGGAAGATGTGCAACAATGAATGGAAATCTAAGTTTTCTGTAAACTTTTGTTAAAATATCTATCTATCTATCTATCTATCTATCTATCTATCTATCTATCTATCTATAAAAGAGCTGTGATGAGACAAATCTAAACAATCAGAGTCATCTTTCCTTTTTCATGATCTTGAGACTGTGCTTCGGACTACTATATTTCATTTTTGGTGGAGTGCACAGTGATTTTACTGCTAACCCAAAGATGCCTTGCTAGCAATTTGAATACACCAGAAGCTCGTTGAGAGTAAGCTGGCCTGTCTCCACCTATGTGGTTTACAGCTTCCAGAAACTCACAGAAGAGTGAGCTATGACTCAGTTCCAAATGCTTGGCAATGAGTTGAGTTTTAAGTTGTATCTAGGCCAATAACTCAGGCATCAGTTAGAAATTTTGTACAGTTTACCTAAAATAGGACAGATTATTTTTCTTCTTCTAGCTTTCTGGAATTTTAATTGGCATACAGTAAAGACTAGAGCCTTCAACATGGACTGCATCTTAACATCAAGGAAACAGGTTCTCACCACTGGGCCAATGGGAAACATCATGATAGTTGGAGAAAGAATTGAAACTGTAAATGATTTCATCTTCCTTCCATCCACGATCAACCCCCTTGATACCAGGAGTCAGAAAATAAGGAGAACATATTGCTTTGGGTAAGTCTGCTGTCAGGGACCTCTCCAAAATACTGAAGAGGAGTGATGTCAATTTGATGACTAAGGTGCACCTGATTCATGCACTTGTTATGCATATGAAAGCTGAACAGTGAATAAATAAGGATGACAGAAGAATTGGTATCTTTGAGTTGTGGGTGCTGGAGAAGAGTACTGAATATTCCATGGACTGCCTAAAAAATGAACAGATATGTCTTGGAAAAGGTGCAACTGAATGTTCCTTGGAGGCAAGGATGGTAAAGCTTTGTTTCTCTTACTTTGGACCTATTGTTAGGAGAAGCTATTCCTTGGAAAGGATATCATTCTAGGAAGAGTGGAGGTTCAGTGAAAGAGAGGAAGACCTCCATCAAGATGGATTGACAGACAAGCAACAGATGCTGGCAAGGTTATGGAAAAATTGGAACCCTTATTCACTGGTGGTGGGATTGAAGAATGGTGCAATCACTGTGGGAAGGCAATATGGCATTTTCTCAAAGAGTTGGAAATAGAAATATTATTTGACTCAGCAGTTCCACTGCTGGGAATATACCCTAAAAAACCCAGAACTACCACCCAAACAGATATATGCACACCTATGTTTATTGCTGCATTATTCACAACAGCAAAGAAATAGAAGCAAGCCAAGAGCCCATCAACAAATTAATGGCTAGAAAAACTATAGTAGACTCAAAAGATGGAATATTATGTGGTACTGGAAAACAAGGAACTCATAAAATATTACACAACATGGGTGACCCTGGAGGACAGTATGCTGTGTGAAATATCTCTGTCACAGAAGGACAAATACTTTATAATACCACTGTTATAAAACAGGACTGACATGGAAGTTGGGAGGAAATTATGAAATGTGGAAAATAAATACTGAACACTGCATTGGAACAAATGAAGCAAAGAACTGGGAAGCTTGTAGAAATTCAAGTGCAATTCAGAAGAGGCCATGGAATGAGGGATATCATTGCTAATATCAGATGGGTTTTGACTGAAAGTAGAGAATACCAAATAGATGTTTGTATGTTACTGACACTATGCAGAGGCAGTTGACTGTGGATAATAACAATTTGTGGCAAATACAGAAAAGAATGGAAATTCCAGAACACTTTATTGTACTCATGTGAAACCTATAGATAGACTAAACTGTTGTCTGAACAGAATAAGGTAACACTGCCATGATTTAAAATCTGGAAAAGTGAGTGTTAGCACTGTATTCTTTT